AGAGGGGAGGGAGAGAGGAGAGGGGAGAGGGGGGGGTGGGGGGGGGGGGGAGGGGGGGGGGAAGAAAAGGAAGGTTTGCAATGGGCTAGGAGCGGTTATAGGAGATTATGGCCTGGGGGGGGCGGGGAAAGAGGAAAGAACGACTCGGGCACGGGGAGACAGGTACGAAATAAAGACAATGGCTTTGCCGGTCTAGGGAAAGGTTGGATCGGCTACTTTTTGCCTGGTCCAATGGGCCGTAGGCAGCCTACCCCTCATCAATATCATTTCTTTTATTACCTTGAAAGAAATTTTCCTTATTTAATTCATTTAGCCTACAACTCAAAGCAAACTCGATCTATGGAGAAAATTCGATAAGTCAGATTTTTTTACTTGAATCCCAATATCCTCTCTTCTTTATTTTTTCTTCACATCTTCTTTTCCTTCTCATTTTTTTTTCTTCGCCTTTTTAACTTTCATTCTCTTTTGTTTTTCTTTTTTAATTTTTCTTATATGAGCCTTCCTTCCTGCTCATCTTCTCCTTTTTCTTTTTCCTTTCTTCTCTCTTTTTATTCTCTTTTTCTTCCTCTTCTTTATTATTCTTCTCATTCTACTCTTCTTCCGTTGTCTTCTTTTTCATCTCTTTTTCTTGCCCGAGCCTGCTTCAACTCTATGTTTCACATCCCTAGCAAGTTATGGGCAATTTATGGGAGAATTGGATAGTGATTTTATTTATATATGCTTACATATTAAAATGATCGAAATGAAAGTTACATTTCTAAAAATGTTTTAGATCATTTTTGGGATGTGCTAAAAACCGGTTATACTTTTTTGGAAAAATTTTGTAGTTTTTTTTTCAACTTAATAGTTTTATCTAATTTATTTGATGATTGTGTATAAATGGAAAGTTTGTAGGGTATTTATAATCCAAATTTAATGAAGTTGGTTATATCAATTTGAAGCTCTCTTTTTTTTTTTTGGCTTCAGTATGATGTGCTGTTTCAGTAAATTTTAAGGTAAAAGATTATACTCACTTCGAATTTGATAAAATTAGTAAATATCAATATATGACTTTTTTGCTCACTTTGGTTGCGTTGTTTGGTGATGTGGTCATTGAAGTTTTGGATTGTTTTACAACTCTACCTTATTTCTTACAAATCTATGTTAAGGGTTTCTTTTTGGACATTTGATATCATTCAAGGGTTTCTAGAAGGCATTTAGGATTTGAGTATTGCGGAGAGCTAATTGTGGAATGGCAAGGAAAGAGAACACGTGAGTTTGACGGAGTTTTTATGGGGATCAATAGGGGATCAATATTGATTGGTGTTGTTCCGGATCAAAACAGCAAAGATAGCATTTAAACTATGAGGTTTGGATGTTGAGGAGGTTCACTACCCATTCTTGCCTAAGCTATAGAGATACGATCACTTGTGAAAGAAAATGATATATCACTTCATTATGCAAAACTCAGATATACAATCTCTAAAACTCACATACCAAATCAAATATCTCCCCAAAATAAATAACAAAACACATCTCACAATAAAATATACCTAATTAAACCCTCTTAATTTCAATTTTCAAAGTAATTTAAAATAATTTAATATTGAATGAAATGGGATTTCAATTCTCATTAATATCAGATTTAACATCTAATCATCAATTAGTATGCTTTAAATGATTGAATTATTATCTTCATAACTTAAGCCCAATACCATAGGATCATCTTAATTGAATTATCTTCCAAATCATGACAATTATCAAAATTACAATTTTACCCTTATCATTAAATAGATGACAAATTGGTTTCTACCTCTTAGCCCTTCATATTTCAAACACCCAAGAGATTTTATTATAACCATTATTAACCATTTACCCTTTGATTAATCCTTGAATTTAATTAATCTATTAAAATCCCAAAATTCACATTTTGCGCCTGAAGCTCTCTATCCTATAACTTATCAAATGAAACTCAAGTGACCTTGAAATTTCCATGGAGACTCAATCATGAGTTAATTAAAATATGAGAGGAGAAGATGTGGTCTTTTAGATTTTTAATTAATTTATATAATTATTTTAATTCAAAAATAAGATTTTTCAAAATTGATTTATCTAATTAATCAAAATAAGATTTTTTTTGTCATGAGAGAACTATTAGAGGTTCGCCTAGGTCAGAGAAACACTTGGACAAAATTCCATTATTTTTCATATTATATTTGAATTATTTAATGATTTTTAATGAATAATTAAATAGAAAATATATTTTAATTTTTGAAAATTACTTTTATATTTTTATTATATCTCTCTATATTCAGGTAACTCAGAGAAACAAATTTCATATTTTTATGATTTATATTTTATAGCGGTGGAAATTTTTATGCTCATAGTTGTTTCTGCAAATATCTTTTTTTCTTTCCTTTTCACTGGATTATCAGCTGCTTTTTAATTCATGCGCTTCTTAAACTATACTTTTGGCTGTGCAAAATCTTCTGAAACCATTGCTAAGAATTAACTAACCTTTCATAAATTTGTAGTTGTTGGAAGAGTTGCGTGCTCAGCAGAAACGAGAAGTGCAGTTGCAGGAGGAACTGAAGGGGCTTAAAGATTCCTTACAATCTGAGAAGGAAAATTTGCAAGAAATTATTAATGACCGTGATAAACTTAAAATTCTGTATGATGAAAAGGCGACTGCTTTACAGGTATGTTGTCCACATATAATTTTTGCCAATACTTGTTCACTTTTTCATTTTTCATGCACTGCAACATATTCACTTATTTTGTCATATATTTAGTTATGTACTTAAATATGATTTTTTTTTACAGACTGCATTAACTGAAAAACGAACCATTGAGACCAGAATAGCTAAGCTGGAGTCATCCGGATGCCTATCCTTAGAAAATCGTGCGAGAAGGGAAAGCATGCTTGGATTTGGAAATGCAGATGGAGAAGTTAATGTTCCTTTAAAAAATGGTTTCAATAATTCTCAGGTGTGTCCTATGGATTTTATTATTTATCTCTTCCCCCCTCCCCCCTTGGTTAGTTCCATGATGTTATCCTGTTTCACTTTATTAGATTATCATATGCTTGAAAAGTAGTCCCAACATTAAAATTTTGTTTTATTCTGTTGAGTGTCATAAAAACCTAGTCCATTTGTTTTGTCGCTACTATTTTTTTTTTTCTTACTGAAGCAGACGATAAGCAAACTTCAAGAGGATTTGATGATGCATAACAATGAATTGCAAGCATCTAAAGATAATATTAAGAAACTGCTGAAGGAGAAATTATTGCTTGAACAGAAGATTCAGAAACTTGAAAAGAAGAAAAATGATGAGGTGGTTTTTTTCTACTCCTATTTTCACAAAAGTAAAATTAGTTCCTATTTTGCAAGTCAATTGTTTGAGAAATCTAAAGTAACTTCATTCCAGATCATGAATGTGTGTTGATTGTTTCATATTTAACTACAGATTAGTATGATGATAAAAAAATTTGAAGAGGAGCGTCAAAATTTGGACGTAAAAATTAAAGATTTGGAGCAGAAATTGGAAAGCGCAGTAGAAGCGTTATGTTTGGCGGAATCTACTCTTTCAACTAGAAACATCGAACTTGAGACATTACAGGAAAACTTAAAGGAGCTGCAAGAATTGCGGGAAATGAAAGAGGTTGGAAATTTTGGCATTGTATCCTTAAAATAAAAATGTACATGCTTTTTTTTATGCACAGTTGTGAACTGCTTGCTGCTTCATCTGTGCAGCCGAGTCTGAGATCCCAAAAACATGAAATATTTTTCTTAGGCAATAGCCTTGCACTGCTCTGCAGGAAGGCGTGTGCTAGTGCATTTACTGTGCATGTTTTTTATGTGCAGAGGTGCAAAATGCTTAACTGCTTCCTCTGTGCAGCACAATCTGGAAGTCAGAATAACATTAAAGGTTTTTTGGCTACAGCCTTGGGCTGCTATGAAAGTGGGCTTGCCTGAGTGCATTTATTGCGCCTTTTTTATGCACAAGTGTAATCTGCTTCTGCTGTGCTTTACAATCTGGCAGCCTACTCAATAGTTGTTTTTGGGTTCAACCATCCCTACAAGGATGTATAGAGCTTATTATATTTTGAAAAGTATCTATATGGAGTCCTGTGGATTGATGTAGTTGTTGCTTGTATTCTTTAACAGGATATTGATAGGAAAAACGAACAAACAGCTTCAATTTTAAAAATGCAAGGACGGCAACTTGCTGAGCTTGAAGCACTTTACAAAGAAGAGTTAGTTTTACGGAAACGATATTATAATATTATTGAAGGTTATGTTTCATCAATATTTATTTTTTCATCTCCTTTTGTTTTAGAAATTTTGATTATTGCTCGCTCATAATATGTTAGGGAAAATTCCATGACTTTTCATTAACAGATATGAAAGGCAAGATAAGGGTTTTCTGTCGTATACGTCCTTTGAATGAAAAGGAAATTGCTGAGAAGGAGAAGAACATAGTATTCCCTGTAGATGAGTTTACAGTTGAACATCCATGGAAAGATGAGAAATCAAGGCAACACATATATGATCGTGTTTTTGGCCAAAATGATTCCCAGGAGGATGTTTTTGCGGATACAAAGGTATATATTTTTCGAATTATAAAATTGAACTGAGAATCTATAGTTATGATGTCTAGTGTCAGTGCTTTTTTTCAATTTTCTACTTAAATATAAACCTATCAGTAGATTTAATTTGAATGCATCATATTGATACTTCTTTTAACTGCTGTGCAGTACTTAGTACAGTCTGCTGTTGATGGATACAATGTTTGCATATTTGCATATGGACAAACTGGTTCGGGTAAAACTTTCACAATCTATGGTTCGGAGAGCCATCCTGGGATCACCCCAAGAGCCACAGCTGAACTTTTCAGCATAGTAGATCGTGATAGCAGCAAATTCTCTTTTTCTCTGAAGGTGTTAACTAAAATCAACATATTTTTGTTAATTTTAAAGTACAGAATTTAAATTTGTAGTATGCCGACACTAGCTTTTTATTTAGGCATGCTATGGTTTTTAATACACTTGCAATATTTATTTTTGTTTGAATTTATTTTCTTTTTTTAGTAAGCATGTTTCCAGTCATATTAGAGGGTTTTGTTTCCTTGCAGTTCCCCTTTAGGTAGATTATAAAATTACACATGTAGGGTCCAATGAAATTACCATAGGCAAAATCAAAATTCTATGTTCTCAAATTGATACCATATGATGGATGACAATAAGTTTATTTTTTATTTTCTTGAAAAATGGATTACATTGTGAAACCCATTAAATAGAGTGAACATGAACTCTTAAACATCAAAGCGCCTTTTGATATAATGATTGGAGTTTCATAAGAAACTCGTAAGTTAAGCATGCTCACATGGGAGTACTCTTGGGATTGGTGACATCCTTGGAAGCTACACTAATGGGGTAATATTTTGAGGCCACTAGGCCAAAGCGGCCAATTTCTCGATGGTTGAGAGTTTGCGCTGTTATAAATGGTATTAGAGCATTATACCAACCTGAATATGAAAATTAAGTGTCACGATCCGACTCGGGACTGAAGTTAACCAAGGCGGGAATGGATGGTTGGGCGGTGGAAATCAATTATCTGTTATTCTAATTCTATCACTGATAATTTAATATTTAAATATTTTACAAAAGAGCTACTATAGAAAACATTTAAAATTAACAAGTAAAAATTTGTACCTTTTCGTTTGTTGTTCTCGTCTTCTATACACACTTGCTCTTCTTCTATTTATCTTGTTCAAATGTTTAAAACCTAAAATTAATATTAAAACAACATAATGAGTTATATAAAGATAAATCAGGAGTAATCATAATTCTAAATTACAGTAATCTAAAGAAAAAAATTCAATATACATGCGAGTCTATAAGAAATCTTATAATTGATGTTCTTTCATATTTTTATAGGAAATATGGCATACGCTAATGCATATATCAATAACTTTTTTTTAAATGAATATACTCAATCTTCTATAAATATTTACTTTAACTTTATTTTTATTTTATACTTTATATACACATCTGTCTCTGTGAGGATCACTGTCAACAAATCTAACACTCCCTTGACCGATATTGCCCCATTGGCTCTGATGCGATCTACACATCGTAATTGTCTAGAGTAGAAAGACTCTTATATGCCCCTGGCGATATTATCTCATCGACACAGTGTTTAGTAATGTAAACATCACAGTTGTCTGCGGAGGTAAGCTTTGGTCTATTCGCCCTTGACCAATATTATATCGTCGGTATAACGGTTAGTGATCTAATCATCAGAAGTATCGACGCACGTGGGTACACTGACATCCCCTGCATGTACAATTAGGGGGTAAAATCCTCCTCTGAACATGCACATATAAGCATTCATATATAAGTTATTTCATTCTCCATACATACATTATTCTGAGACATTTTATGCAATCTACTAACATGCATACCCATTCTTACTCTGTTGTATAACTATCATCATGCATCTCTCATATTATTCATATATTCATCTCATGCATATTTACTCTACGCTTAATCTATTTATCATAAATATCTTTTTTGTCATGCATATCTTACACATCATATCTATCACATATCATGCATCACATAGTTATCTTTTATGCGTATCTTTCATATCTACTAATATGAAGAATCTACTGTAATGTAAATCTCACTAAACTATAACTTACTTGTAATCAACATATATTTTGAAATAAAAATGATTACTGAAATTTAAAAAACGCGATTCCTCATCTCAGTTATTACACTAGATTCTTGATCTTCAGTAACTAGCTTGACATTACAGTGACTTTTGTGTTAATCTTAATCACCTATTAAACATAATACTAAACTTTAAGATTTAATTAATTTTCGTAAATCAAATTATTCATCTAAATTAGTATATGATTATGTTATGTGAAATTTACGGAACTGTCCTGCAATGATCTTTTACACGTTTGCGTCTGACTCGTAACCTTACATAACCTACCTGAAATCTTAAACGAATTAGACATTCATAATATATTAGTTTATTAGGTAGTTTATCTCAAAATATCATTGATTTGCCAAAACATACCTTAAACAGCCTTCTCAACGATCAACCATTTTCCAAAGCTACCAAATCTTCTTCTCTCTTCTTCTTAACTTTACTTACTTCCTCCTAACCTTCAGTGAATTTGTGTTAAAACCCTTGCAAAAACTCACAAAAGACTTTCGATGCTTCCGACACACAATCAACACTTTTGACGGCTTCCAAAAAGGAGAAAAGCACAAAAAAAGCAAAATTCAAAACAGAAGTGTGAGGAAAGACATGAAAGCTTAGAATAACATGGATGAGGGATTCAAACTCACCCAAAACACCACGGAAGCTTAAAATGAAGTCTGTGGCTACTAGGATTGCTGCTCGGTTTGCAACTGCACAACCCGCTGTATTGTTCAGGCCTTCTGCCGAGCCACTGTTGATCTATAATCGAGAGGGAGAGGGGGAACAGAAAGAGGAAAGAAGAAATGCAAAGCTTTTGAGTCCTCAAATGTAGCTTGCGGCCTTCCCAGGCGCCGCTCGTCCCTTGTTGTTCACGATCCAGCTCGCGGCCCTTGCATTGTAGCAAGGCTCGCGACTCCCTCGCTTGCTTCTTTGCGCGAATTGTACAGGGAGAAGGAAAAATGGGAAGCTCGCTGCCCTATTTGATCGCACGATGGAAATAAAATTGGAGTAAGTCGGTTGTGAATAGTGTTGTGAAAGATTATGGAGGGATTAAGGAATAATTACGATTTAATTAAAGTTAACTAAACTAAAAACTTTCAAATTTTATATTTCTCAATCCGTTCATAATTAATCATATGGTTCTTTATATGAAATTGATCGATTTGACACTCCTTTGAAATCTGAGGGGTGCAAAAATTGAGATACATTGTATGCACCAAAAATTTTATCCGATTTCTTAAAAAATTGTTATTACACTAAGTGCCATACAAAATAACGTACATAGCCTTGAGAGCTAACCTTTTCAACCCATGAAAATGCTATATAGTGAAAGCCACCTCTTAAATTTGTAGGGGCCATCTTGTAATAACTGCATGTCTATAATAATAATAATAATAATAATAATAATTAAATAGGCCCTTAAATAATAATAATAATAATAATAATAATAATCAAATAGGGATGTCTCTACATGTTCGTTTTAGGAGTCGTAGAAGGTATCCTTTCATACGTAATAGACCAAGAGCGAGAGAGGGGGGCTGAGCAGAAGGAAGAAACAAAAATGTAGGCGGAAGAAAAGGGAGAAGAGAAGAGGAAAGGAGGCAGAGGCATCAAATTAGTCTCTTGAGTTGGTTTGAGTAGAAAGAAAGTGAAGCCATGCCCTAGTCGAACGACTTAAACTCACTTTCGGAAGCCATTAGTGGTGAGTCTGACGTGTTCGATTGAAGGTTTTGTCAACAGGAAGAATGTTGAAGGAGAAAGAGGAGGAGGAGGTAGGATCGTGTGGTTTTTGCTTGCCTTTTGAAGCATATTGCAATCGACTAACCACGAGTGGTAGAAGAGGAAGGAAGAAGTTCTGTGCAACAAGAAGAAGATAGGGAGAGATGCGAACAAGAATGAAACCACATACCAAGCCCTAGCTAGCAAGAAGGAAGTGTTCTCCCGTGAAGTTCTCAACTTGAGTCATCTCACGAGGATTTTTATGCAGGTAAGTATCTAAACTGATCATATAGACGTCAGGGTTATTTTTCTTTTTAATTTTATGTTTATATATATAAATGGAATATATAAATGTTAAAATAAGTATTATGCTAAATATGTTTGGAAGCTAGCAAGAAGGCTTGTAGTGCGGGTTCTAGCTGGAAGAGGTGAATCAAAACATTCATAAAGATTTATATGTTGTATGCTTGAATTATGTAAATTAGTTTGTGTTGTTAATTTAATATCAACAATCTATGAATTAGCTTTCTGATTTCAATTTGACAAATAGTTGACTTAAAGGATGAGAGAGATTGAAATCTACTTGTTCAAGAGGAAATAAAAAAAGGGATTAGTATTTCCGTGATCTCCTAAAAGTTAAAGTGAATTTTTACTTTCATATATGTATTAAACTGATCTTTTATTAGATAAAGAGTAGTATCATTACTTCAAATATCTTTTTTTATGGTTATATTCATGTTGCAAGTTAAAAGAATCATAGAAAAGAATGAATTAAATGATAAAAAAAGAAATGATTGTTCAACAACTTTAAAAGCAGATATTTAAAGAAAATGAAATGTAAAAGCTCAACTCATTCAGAATTATCCTTATATGGTAATTGTAGGGGTTGTGAAAAAAAAAAAAAAAAAAAAAAAAAAAAAAAAAAAGAAGTGAACGGTAAAGGTGTACATTTGGGCGAAAAATTTTGATGATATCTACGAGTACAATTTTGAGGATATTTTTGAATATGTGATGATCCTTATATAAAAAGGTTAAAAAGTAAATACTTAAATTGAAATGTCAAGGGTCAAGTTAAAAATGAAAGCTTAGAGTTTTGATTTATCAATAAATTGAATACCCTTGTAACATTTATGCATAACATTTGTATTTTTATTTAATGCATAATAAAATTATAATTGCTCACTAAATCGTGAAAACATAACTATTGAATTTAATCGTTACTTTCTGGAAAAAATGTTGATTGATTTGTCTGACATAAATGATTTAATTTATTGGAGTATTATTATTGATAAAATTTATGTTGTGCTATGGTTGTAATTATTGTACTATTAACTTCTAAGTAGTTATATATTGTTGTGTTAGTTTGAGATGTTGTTTTACTTGCAGATGATGTCATGACCTGGCTCGGGTCTTGGAATTAATCAAGACGTGAACAGACGATCGGACGGTGTGAAATAAAATTTTTTATTTTCGTCTACAATTTAACAGATGAAAGAGTAACTAATCAAAATAAATTAAAGGGATACAATTTATATTACCTCGTTACTTGTTGTCCACGTATTTTATAAACATTTTCTCTTATGTCGCTCTTTCTTAATCGCTTAGTTAACCTGAAATGTTAGTTTAAAATATTAATGAGCTAAACGGGCCAGTGAGTACTCATACTCTTAAACTACAACAATACAAAGAAAAAGAATAATATACATGTGAGTTAAGCTTCTTTATAAAACAATATACACATTTAACATGCTATTCAAAGAGTCTAATCAATATCATTTCATATCTATACAATTGTCATAGGAGCATCGTCTAAAAATTATGACAATTAAGGCACATCAATATCAATATGTTTTTCCATATACGTGAACGGATATATTTGTGTTCCCTTACTAGTACCATCAAGTGGTGACTCCATCATAGTCAAACATGCACATACAAGCATCCAATACAAATATCACTTTCCAATAAAATATTAATTTTTCATTTGTATAGCAGTTAAATCATTCAATAAGGATGTCGACACATACCATTTCTTCAATATGAACAAAAGTTCACTAAAAATCAAAATCATGAGTTCATAATCATTTACCAGATAACTAATAAAAGTATTAATTAATGCATTAAGTCTAAAAGAAGCAAAATACTAGTATCGTAGATGAAAATGAGTACTCACCTTGAAGTTATATGACTTATTTCAAATACGTTTAATATTTGTCTCTAATAGCTAGCTGACTACAATATCGTAAAAATATAATCTTAATCATACCATTAATTATGCTTAATTAATCTCTTAATTATGTAACTTTAATTGTTGATTAGAAACTTTATTTTAAGTGTTCGTGTTACTTTAACTTGACAATCAAAACTCCAAGTAAATCACATGTTGCGTGGGATCGAATGGTTAAACACATGAGGGTGGCTGGGAGCTCGTATCATAGCCTCTGGTCATTCTTTAATATATATATATATATATATTTGACAGAGGCCCAAATACTGATTTCTCATGCTCTAGGCCCCATGATGAGAACCCCCACCATGTGCCTAAATATTCGAGAACTTAGTGCCACTGAGGATCAAATCCATGAACTTAAGGGACTTATAGTGAACTCCGCCAACCAACAAGCCACGGCTTAAGGGGCGCGCCCGCCCACACACACAAT